TTATTATTATGATCATAATTGTTGTTATTATTATTATTATTTTCATTATGACCATCATCATTTTAACTACTATTTTTATCAATACTAGTGTTAGGCCTATTATGATTATTACCATTCATATCAATTTTACTATCATAATCATTATTATCATAATCATTATTATCATTATTATTATTATAATCATTGTTATTATCATTATTTTTCTGTTGATCATAGCTCGTGAAAACCGAGAACCCTAGCATCGATAATGCCAAGCACCTCCTCTCAGACCTCACCCCTGATGACGTTAGTGAAGCGATAAAGCATACAGACGCAGCAGGAAACAGCGTGATCCACTATGCCTGTGCCAAGGCACTCGTACCCTGGGTAGAACTTCTCATAGACAACGGAGCAGGTAAATAGGAAAACACGAGCTTTCCCGAAAGTTTTTTTTTTTAGAAGGACTGGTTCTTTTTGTTCCAGGAGGTACATTTTCCCGAAAATTATCAATATTGGGGGCTCATAACTTCGAAAATGAAAAAGGGTTCATTAGAAGATTCGTAATTCCGAAAATCGATAAGGTTCCCATATCATTTTGGGAAATATGAATCTTCTAAATGTTGAACCTCATTTAATTTGTTTTTGAATAACGAACCCTATTTATTTTATAGATTAAACATTTAGCCTGACGGTAGTGAAGTAAGAGAAAGAGCTGAAGAGAGGATGCCAAAACAGGCACTGAAAATGTGTGAGATGTCATGGGACATCGTCTGCTTGTGCAAATCATGTCCAACCAGTGATGTCACACATCTCAGCAGCGTTCGGAGAGCTCTTCAGGTGCTATGCCGGGGCTGTATTTAAGCCTTTTGTAATTGATAATAATCATTACTTCGAATGTATCCAAGCTTTGAATTTTGATAACCTTGTCCAATCACAGTTCCGCCTTTGCATTAATGAAAATAAAGTTAGTTTTTAGAATCAATGTATATCTACTTTAAGCCTATCTATGGAGGATCCATGATCGGTTCTATTGATTAGGGTGGGGGGGGGGGGGGGTGTAGAGGTGTAATTGTGGTTGAGTGGTTTAATCAGTTGTCTTGAAATGCAAAGGTTTCGGGTTCGAGGCCCGGCACGGCACCTATGTCATTGAGCAAGCATTTTATCGTCATTTTCCCTCTACACCCTGGTGTTAAGCTGGTACCTAGTTGAATATGAACGTCATTGTGGTTGGATTAGCATGTGCGGGCCCGTAAATGTGTGACTTGTTAACAGTGCACCTCATGGAGGAGAGAATGTGCACTGTAATATGGAGATGCTACTTATAAGAGTTTGATATCACTTTGCATTGCTAGATCTTAACCTGAAAGGCAAAGATAAACAGAGACCTATTCATTTCGCAGTCAAAGGAGAAGACAAAAACGTCAGCAAAGTAAGTTTTTTATTTCATTTTTATAAATAAGCCGGATATCTTGCAATAACAAGTTTAAATTAAACGCAACTTGATTTTCAATCGAAATAGGGATCGTGTATTTGAGACGTTTATGCTTTCTTAGCAGTCAGGTAAAATAATCGTCACCACCACCACAACACAACTCGGTTCAATATTTTTAATTTGCCTTTTTTGTTTATAAGAGGGCCCGAGTTGTATCTGATTTACCTTTCTCTATGCGGAAGTACGGAGAGTTGGCCCCATAGCGTATTGAGGGAGATAGTTGTGACACGCGCACCCGATAAAATGTCAATTCATGGGGCTACAAAGAGTTCCCTCCCTCGAACAATTTCTGTGGCTATTTCAAACTCCATGACTAGACTATTTTCGATATATAATCAAATATAACGCACAAATCTTTATTAAGTGCCTGGTTACAAATTATTTCATTCGTCTGTCATTACAAAATTGTATTTCAATATAGTCAGATTGCAAATTTCATACATTATGTTTTGACCACGTTACTATTATGTTGCTTTTAGAGACATCCAATTTTATTTTGTGAATGTAGCAGTATTAGATGAATGTAGCAATACAAAACAAATGTCTTGTTGCCAATTTGAAAAACAACATGTTAGCCCTAGGAATAAATCCCTTCCTGAAACTGTAAATTGTTAAAATTGTACTCATTGCCAGGTAAAAGACAAAGTAAAAGTGGTGGAACTATTAGGACAGGAACGGGTACATGCAGACGAGAAGGACTCCCATGACCGTACAGCATTACAGTTAGCTTGTAACGTCAAGGGTCAACGCGAGGTCATTCGTGCCCTACTATCACACACACAGATTGATGTAAATGTAAGTATAGATCAAATAAGCCCTTCTTCACAAAGATTATGGCGTTTTGGTTGTTGTGAAGCATAAGTGTCACAGCATTATTTAAAGCCAATGAAATGAATAAGACGAATTAATAAACAAAATACGTTTTTTTTGTCATTTAAATATCAGGTTGTTAGAGCGTTAGTTCTTTTAATATTGAAGTGGAAAAGGGAACAACAAAAATTGAACAAACAAACAAACAATATTAAGGTCTTTAGAGTTTAGATAAATTTCAGCTCCCTCTTGAATTCCGTTTTTTCTAAACCCGTCTAGCTGTTATCAACGTTTTGAATTAAGTTTTGTCTATATGAACATTTCTCCCTTTTCTCTGTCTTCCTTGAGTACGTTTGTCAAAAGTTGATTAAGGGTAATTAAATCAAAGAGACGGACAATTCTTTTTCAGATTGAAAGTAAATCATATACTTTTCATGGTGTGTCAGTGAGGATATTTTTCATAAGTTGACAGAAGTGTGCTTAAAGAAATTTGTTCCTTCCTGATAAATCGTGTGGAAGCACTGTGGTTTATTGATAAAGGCTCCTGACTATAATAGAAAAAGTTCCAGTGTTCGATCCTTGGTCAGTGCATGTTTACATCCCAGAACAACGCTTACTGCCCACAATGGCCCCTCTCGACACAGATAAATGGGTACCTGGCAATGGTGAGGCATTAACAATAGCAGGGCCTTCAGCAACAAAGAGTCAGGTAGTAGCCGCAAATGAATACGGATGTGTCTTTAAGCTCGCAAGGAGGGACTAATGGGAGAAGAAAGAGTTGCAGAAACCAAACACAAATAGGACATGGATTGCAGTATACGGTAATTTCATTTGAGCAGCTAACTAGAAGAGCTTTATGATATAAAGTATTGGAGAACATGTGTCTCAAGGTCCATCTGATTGTCGCCCACAATGGTCTCCAAGCTATTGGTCATAGATAGACAATGTCTTTTTTCTCGGAAAAGCCGACAAAATAAATATTATTATTATTATAAATCATGCATTGCGTAGGAGTTAAGCAATATCAAATTATATTTTAATAAACATTGTCTTGATTCATCTTCCTTTCTAGCGAGATGCAACGTCGGGAACAGTTACTTCACCCCTTTTAAACATCGCATTACAGAACGATCAGTTTGAAAATGCCATGCTGCTACTCAAGTTCGGGGCCAAACCCTTGCGAACGGATAAGACACATGCAGATACACCCCTTCACATCATTCTTGGGAAAGGGCGAGTGAAATTTGCCCTTCGATTCCTCAAAATGTGCGATCAGGAAGGGCATGACATGAAAAAGGTTAGAGCTTTTATATTGGTTTAATTTGATTAGATTTGAATATTCACGTTTCATGGACTTATTTTCTTTTTGCCGTTTTGTAGGGCAATCTGCCAAGCAAATATGTTGCACTTGACAATATATGATTAAGGGGTTAGTACAGGGCATGTCTCATGTATTACCACATATAATTGATAATTAAATGATAAGGGGGGTGGGGTGGGGAGGGGTGAGACTTGAGAACTCAACTCAACCCTCATTAGAACCGCCATTGCTTGCGAGACTTTTGTGCAATGCTTTTGATATTTAATTAGCATAATTATTCTCATTCACATTTGTTGTAAAACAGATTTTGTTAGCACGAAACGCGAACCAGCAATGCGTGCTCCATGAGGCGGTCAAGTGCGGTGACAATGAACTCGTCAGATACTGCATGGATTACGGTGAGTATAATGCCCACGCATACTTTACAACCTGACTGCAACCTGACTACGATTTCGATATTGGAAGTATTTGTAATATCATTTGATACGAACATTCAAACTTCTAAAAGCTATTGTTGATCCAAATAGTCATATGTCATATTATTTTTTTAATCATTGATTAAAAAGATTAAATTTTCAATGGATTTAAAGCTTCCTTGGATGATGTAAATCTAAATATACTGAGAATCGTTGCGTTGTCATACCAATAGTACGATTGGAATCTGAAGCCGATTTGGTTATTATTCTGAATAAAAGGCTTAAATGCACTCAAATTCCGGGTATTAGTATTTTTATTATTATCTATATTTATAATTAGGAAGAAGATGTTTGTTTAAATTTCTGTAAAAGATTTAATTGTAATTTCTTTAAACATCGGATCGCATGAAAATCCCATAGTGTGTGGTGGGATCAAGAGAAGGAGGAAGGGGCGAGTTGGCTCAGTCAGTAAAGCGTCTGCCTGTCCAATCTAACCGAGGCGGATAACTGAAGCCTGCGTTGTGTGTTAACGTGCCCCTCACCCGTTTCAAAGACGTATGCTATGTTACAGTAGAAAGCACCACGTCCCTCGGATAGAAAATTACACGGAGGTCCAGTGTGGAGGGGAGTCACCATCTTTGAACGTTAAGAGCCCACAAAACGGATAAGAGAAGGGTGAAACCCCCTGTGTAGTGCTCCTCCTTTATAACCCCAATCAGTTATACCCGGAGGAGGGACCCGGGGGTCACTGTAATTCAGTATGCTTTTTCCCTCCCGGGCACAGGTGACGCCAAGTACTTGATAATGGCATATTATGATACATAACAATCCTACACCCTTAAACTCCCACCTCAGTGGCGTAGCTAATGGGGGCACAGTGAACACAGGGGAGCAAGTGCCCCTCGAAACACGATCATAAGCAAAAGACAAAATAATGGAGAAAGTGGAAGAGAGGAATTATAAAAAGCACTGGAAGAGCAAGATGAAAGGACCTGATTCCGCTCCCCCTAACCAGAGGCCTTGTAAATCAAATATAACTTTTCGTGGGAGCTAGATCAGAGCCCCTGATTGTACCAGTGCCCCCTCTATGGCTAGACCAACGCTACGCCACTGTCTCTGCCATTATGTAGTGTCAGGTCCAGGATCTCATACAGACGGGTTGAGAGTGTGGGGAAGGGGGTACACATAACCGATTACGGTGAATTTCGTCTACTATCTATAATAATAATTGTTTAATAATAAATAACAAGAATCATCGAATGATTATAAGATATAATGGATAGAAGACAAAATTGACATTAGTCAAACGGGGAATTCGACCGACTGGCAACTAGACTAAATGAGCAATAAATCAAATAAATAATATACTTCTTGGAGGTCATATAAAATGGAAATTAGACCAAATGGCTATCTCCACGACCTTTCTGTTTCTAATCAAGTGTTTAAAGCACTCGACTACGACACATCTACGTTTTTTCCTATTTAGTATCACTTTCAGTTTCTCAATCGGATGATCGCGACCTCTTGGAGAGCAAGACAAAGGATGAATCGACATTGATGCACACTCTCTGCAAACATGGACATCACGGCATTGTCCAAATGCTTGATAAAATGTGTTCTAAGCTCCTGGACTGTCAAAACAAGAGACGATTAACACCGCTACACTCTGCCTGCGGTCGAAACCAAGTCGAGGTGGCTACACTCGTCTGTGACCTGTTACACCTGAGGTAGGCATAACCACTAGGAAAAGGAACACTAATTGTAAAGGTCAACAAAATAACTTGTGAGTTTTCTCAACCTTTTCATGTCACTGATTGAAAACACTTGTTATTGGGTAAACACCCAAACGATGTTGAATTTTCGATGAGAGCCCACGCTTTATGCGTCTTTAAGAGTGATATTTAAATATGACCGTGTGTGATATGTACTTGTCATGTATTTATTGACGCTTCCACATTCATGGGATAATATTTCATGTTCGGCTGCGCCAAGGTCAACCTAAGTGTCTTTGTCAAAAAATAATAACAATAATATATATTTGAAACATTATTTTTATGTGTATGGTTTTGTATTCTACGTCCAATCAGCTTTCCATTGGTATATAGTTGTATTTCATCGGAGAACGTCTTTAATAATTTGTCACTATAGTTCCCTAACAAGAAAACATCAACAAGTTTGAATAATTATGTTAGTAAACCAGTTTATAACAATTCTGTCATTTTTCTGATTCACACAGTAGAATTTTCACCTGAAAAGAATTGCCTTTAGGAAACACTCATATTGGAAGTCTAATTGGCCCAAAACACATGCATATAAGGAGCACTTGTGATTAATGAATATAAAAAAGACCAGTGATTGGAGGAAGGCAGTAGTAGGTAGTCTTGTCAACTTTTCAAGTTCTCCCCTCGCCCTTTTCAGTTTCCACCTTCTTCGTTTTTATTATCCTTTCTCTTCTTCCCCATTCATTTTCTATTTTTTTTTTTTTTTCATTTCTTATTTAATCAATTTTTTTCATTTTGTTATTAGGGGTCCGTGTGCCTAACGTGTCTCTACACCATGCACTTATGTATTATGATAAAACCTTATTTATTTTATTTTTTATAGTAAAATTACCTGCATGTCTTGTTTTCCCTCTATATTGCTCAAAAGGCGGGAAGAAGACTTTCATATCGGTATGGAGGAGAGCGGTCCTGAAGATCCACCATCTTTATTGAAGTACACAGCCAAGAAAGACGCTATCGACTGTCTGGTGGTTCTACTCAAACGTCGAAAAGATCATAAAACCTTAATCGACTTACTAAAGTGGATCTCGGTGGAGAGAAACCTCTTCAAAGTCCTTAAGGTATGTATGACCCACGAGGCCTGGCACGCCGGAAGCAGTTTGGGATGGGGGGGGGGGGGGGCAAACATTCCAGGGTGCTCACCTTCCATGGGCAGTGGCGTAACATTTGGAAGGGGGGGGGCAGAAGAAAAATCTGCATCACCACCACTCTTACACGTTACATGCAGGCGCCGCGAAACGTTTTTTTTTCTTCTTCAATTTGGAGTATTAACGATCAGGTAGAGCATAAATTGGCGCAGGGTCCAGGGCCTGTTCCCCCGAAGTTCAGGATTTTTAGGAATATATTTAGAAACCTTATTTGTGACACTGGTAGGTCACTAATTGGCGGGGAGTCCAGGGGCAGAGCCCCCGTAAGCTCAAGGGTTTTAGGTATTTAATTACGGTTAGATGAGCTTCCAGGGGCTCTCTTTAAGGCCATTGATGTGGTCCAGGGGGCAGAGCCCCCTGTAGCCCAGAGGTTTTAGGTATTTAACTACGGTCAGATGAGCATCCAGGGACCCGCCTTAGGGCCCTTTGTGGGGTCCAGGGGGCAGAGTCCCCGGAAGCTCGGGGTTTTTAGGTACTTAATTACAGTCAGATGAGCATATTTTTATACCTCATTTGTGACATTGACAGGTCACTTATTTTTTCTCTCTCTTTTCTTCTTTTCCTTTGTAATATACTTTTTCAAAAAGTGAGGGGGGCTCGAGCCCCCGAGCCGGGCCGTTCTGCAGGCCTTGACATGAAGGCTTCTAAATAAGCATATTTTTCGCCCGACTGTGAATTTGGGAATTCCTCATTTTCCAACAAAACGCATAAAAAGGTATGACTTACAAAAAAAACGAGAAAAAATACCGGAAAATCGTGTCATTTCAGCAACATTTTTAAATCACTGGTATCGAATAAGAAATACCCCCCCCCCCATCAGTACGTCCGCGTTCAGGGGCTCATGTCATCTCACCCTATCCTCACACAATATTTCCACGATATGCGCGTATCGCTATTATAAAAACCTCCATTGATAAATATAGGTGGGATGCGGAATGTTTAGAAAATTTAATTCCTGTTAACTTCCCTTTTCTTTGAATGGAATTTTATATGTGATTTAATTCAGGTTTGTATTATTGTTATGTTCTATTGGGTTAAAAATACGAACCATCTTTACTCCTTTAGTGCTTTTTTGTTGTTGTTGGAGGGGGGAGGGGGCGTTTTTTGTTGTTTGTTTGGGGGGGGGGCAAAAATGCATTTTACCTCCCCTCCACTTTTTTGGTTGGGGGGCAAGTGCCCCCCCCCCCCCACTTCCGGCGCCTATGCACGAGGCCCGTGCCGTATGAGACCGACGGCTCACGTGGTCGACGGCAAATGAGACCGACAGCTTATGAGACCGACGATATACGAACAGACCATAGACCGAGGCTTACTGGCTCAGTGGTATAGCAGTGTCCTCGTTACCGTGAGGACCCGGGTTCGAAACCAAGTCGATGCGCTATTGCCTTTAATAAGCCTTAAGGGCATTAATCCTCATTACCAAGCCCCTCTGAGAGGACTTAAAGCCGCCAGTCACCTGATTACTTGATTACAACACGCGCATGCATAATAATAAACAAACCAATCATAATTATACGAGACCGATTGACAGCCCACGAGACAAATGACATACGGGATCAACAGCTCTCGAGACCGACGTTATACGACACCGACGGCCCAATAGAGCTATAGTTTCTCTTGAGCCTTCCGACCTACTTTCTGATGGTTCACTGGCCCAACAATAATGGTCTCATAAGCCGAGGTGACGCACCGGCCTCGTTTGCTGCGAGTCATTTGGACTGATGTGCTATTAATTGGGAGGTCTCGAACAATATTAGTTTTCAACACCCTTGCAAAAAAGATAAGCAACAACAAAATCTATTAATTCCTTTGTACAAGCTTCTGCTTCTCATCTGGGCCACGTTTCATAAAACTTGATATCAATGAAAAGTTACGATACCTGTTGTAAGCTACTGAAGTTCGTGCATTTGATTGGCTGAGAGAAAAGTTGTTTTAAAATGTTGGCATTTGTTATTGATAAGTAATTTCATGACCCAGGGCCCTGGTGAATAAAGAAGAATCATAAGGATCTCGGCGGTCTCAATTTTGTCACAATAGAAAAATAATTACACCTTTGTCCAGGTCTTACTTGCAAATACTCTTCATCATATACATGCATTAAAATGCACACACGAAACTCCTACATACTCACTCCTATCCACCCACATATAAGTTTGTTCGTTATTATATAAACACGTTATTCATTTAACTTTTCGCTCCTATACGTTTATTTTGAATTGTTCTCATCTACGTTTTTTCTCTCTATGCAAGAATGTTTATACGTATGTATATGTTCTTTAATAAACATATATCGTTTCCTTTTTCTTTTGTTCTTGTTTCCAGGCATTGCTTAACAGATCTGAAGAAATCGAGTTGAGAAAGGGGCAAGACGACATGATGAAATTGACCCGACTTTGTGCAGAAAAAGGCCATACACAGTAAGATTTAACATTTAACAATAAACGAAATGTGAATTATATTTATACAAGTCACTGTGTGGGATGTGTGTGTAAGGGAGAAGGACATAGATGATTGAAGAATACAAAACATGTAAAAACGGACAGAATCTGGTTACGAGCGAATATGACATTAGCACTTCGGTACTCTACCGTCTACCTTTAAAACCAAACTTGATGAGAAATCATCTTTCAATTACAACTCTATAATAATAATCATCATATTTGTATAGCGCTTAATGCTACGTTTATAAGCGCTTTACGTTGTCATATATTATTACCCCAGGCATTTTATTCACTTGCTAATCCGCACATGATAGTGCAGGCGCTCCGCTCCCTGGGGAGTATTCCGGTCAGGCATCACTGCACAAGCGCACTCATGCCAATAACTTTCGCATCTTAGCGGGTACCTATGTAACGCTTGGAGGAGATGGATCATGTAGGTTAATGTCTTGCCAAAGGCAAATTGATGCCGCTGCGGAACCTGTACCAGGTGATACACAGTCCGAAGATGTATTTACAAGACCACGACACCTCTACTTTATAAAGAAAATCTTTTCGCTACATTGTTGTCTTTCATATCTTATTCAGGAGTGTCCTTGAGCTGGTTGCCTGGGACAAGGACATGATTAACAAGGCTCATGATGGTAACTCCCTGATCCACTTAATAGCAGAAAAAGGTCATCATCAAACAACAAAGGAATTTCTCAACTTGAAGAACCCGGATGTTCAAACGAATAAAACGTAAGAAACCTAAATACATTAAAAAATGAACCTCTATCGCAAGATTCCATCTCAGGTCAGCTGTAGCAGTATGGTCTTGTAACTTGCTGCGCTGTATTGGATGTCGCATTGAGTCCTCTTTCTGCAAAGCAGAAATTACCTTTTTTTAACGCATTGTTGGCATGTTGACCACGAAGTGCTGTGCAATAAACAGTGTGATAGGGCAGAAAGTTCGGTATCGCTTTAACGTTTTTTTTCTTGTGACCGATGATTTGCTTTATTTTATGAACAGGGATAAGTTGGGACAAACAGCACTCCACGTGGCGATTCAAGGAGGTCATAGAATGACTAGTGAATTCATCTTGAAAACTGACACGGAACTAGCAGGAATCAACGACAACAAAAAAGTAATGATTATTACTATCATCATTATTACTATTATCATAACTATTGTTAATATTAATACTAGCAGTAGTAGTAGTATCAATATTTTCATGATAAATTACAGAAAGAGAGAAAAATAGGGAAGAAGAATTAGAAAAAGAAGAACAATGAGGAAATTATATATAAAGAGAGACAGACAGGCAGAGAGAGAAATAGATAGAGAAAAAAAAAAGAATTCTTAACGGAGCTTTGAGATTCAGCAATTTTTGCCAGCTGAAAAACGCTTTTGCAGGGCATCTGTTCATTTGAAATATAGAAATAATATCCGAAAATGATTATAATAATAATAATAATAATAATAATAATAATGACAGTGGGTTCTTGTATAGTGCTCATGTTTGTCAAAGTTGACACTCCTGGTGCTCCACAATGATTACTCCGGCCTTAGCATGGCTGCCATCATGGCGCTCTACCCATTTACCACATCCCGGTGGAGTGTGGGAAATTAGTACCATGTGCCATGGCGGGATTCGAATCGCAAAACGTGTGAACCACACACAGTCCGGTAACATATCCAACTGACCACGTTTCCTTTTTTTGTCTTCTTAATATTAGATGACACCGCTCATGTATGCCTGCAAAACAGGGAATATCTACATCGTTAAAAAGCTCTTGGAGATGCTAAAAGAGGATCAAGTGGAGATAGGGTTTCTTCATTGTGACGAGAATGGTCTGAATTGCTTAGACCATGCCATTGACAATGGGCACGAGTAAGTCAATACAGATTTGATTTGATTAAGTTTTTCCTCTTGCAATAGACCAGGGCATTGTTTTACACATGACCCAAATATCTGCTAAGGATAGAGAAGACCATTTTGTGCATTGAGATCGCGCTGTGGAGTAAACAGAACGCTAGTTCATCAGTTCGGTATCCTTTTAAGATCGTGCTTTTAAGGCAACATGTTAGCTGCAAAGTGCTCCTTCATTCATGACTAACTTGTTTGTTTAAAAGTTATTAAAATATTAGTATTGCGATAATGCCCTTTGCACACGAAGCGTTATGTCATCCCCGCTATTACCTGCGCCAATGGAAACCACAATCTAGCAACGTTTGCATTGTTCACTTAAATTACACCTTTTGTACGATGTCACTTTGACACCAAGCGTCAAAGGTCACGTTATTCGCTGACGTAGTCCAAGTAGAGTTAGCCAATTTATTAACGGCTTGTGTTCAAAAGGAATGATATTCGTTTTATTTGTGTCATTTAGAATTTTTGGTGATTCAGAAGTGTATACATTTTTATTTTATAATAAATTCATGTATAATTTTTGTAATGGCAACCTATTGTTGAATATAACTGGATATAAATTTTTATTTTTAATTGATGGTATTACCAGGGAATTAATTCATATTTTGTTAACATGAATACAATTTTTGTTTAGGATGATTGCCGTAGCATTGCTCGATCAAGATAATTGGCGGAGGCTTATGACGCATGCGACAAGTGGTGAGGGAACCAAGACGACACCTATGAGGAAACTCATCAGCTCTATGCCAGGTAGTGATTTAACCCTTTTATTTGGACGTAATCGTTCTAAAATCTTGATAGCATCTTAAGAACTTTGTTTCTTTACTTTACGGACTGATCCAGCCTATTCTAAAGAAAATGAAGGGCACAGTACCGTAAGGAAAATAATTATAGGGGTATGTGTTATGGTTCTTAATGTCTGTAGACTACATCAGCAAGTTGCATATCATTAAGCTCAAAACCGCGTTTATTCGCTCACGCCCTTTGGTAATGCATTACTCTTCATTACCGACTCCCTCGGAGAGAACTTAAAACATTCGGTTCCCTGGTTGCTTACTTACATGTAATCATTATGCACTGTAAAAACAATCATTAACCTAACATCATTGTGATTTGTACAGGTGTCGGCAAGTTTGTGCTGGATAAGTGTATCAAACCTGAGCCTAAGCTAAGCGTTCAACCTAGCGATGATGAAGATGAGGGACAACGACCAGACAGCGATGTCGAGATCAAGGTGGACTTCGAATTACTAGAGGACTGGTTCTCAGAGTGGATGAGGGAGGGTAATTATTACACAATTATTGAATCTCTATAGCTAAAGAATTTCGAGAAATAAAAGTCATCCCAAACAAATAATATTTGGAGTACGTCTAGGTCTGTGTAATTCCTCATTGTCCAGTTCGTATATTTTAATAGCTGATGCAAATAATTATTAGAAATCTCCCTAAGCTGATTTTTAGAAAGACTTTGCGATCGTGTTTATCTTGGCTTACTAGGATTCATCGGGTCATCGCGTCGGGCCGGGTGGTCGCGTTACCCGTCCTGTCGTGAAAACACGCTCCTGTATCTACAAAATGTGTGGGATAAAGTTTGTGAAATAAATCCCTCCCATCTGCAAATGGTCTGCTCCAAATTACCCAACATTTTGTGATCTTCAAATTTCGTTTCACGACCGACCGACGCGATGACCCGATGATTCGAAGTAAATCTTTATCTTGATACTACTGAGTGGGAGGGGGGGGGGGGAGGGGGTGGGGCGAGGGGAATAAAAGACATTAACATTCAATTGTATTGATTGGATGAGAGGATATCAAGGCAAAGATCAACATAAGAGTTGTGAAAGAATAGGCAAGTGATGTGTATTAATAACGATCTTTTTGTTTTAAATATTATCATTTATATTTATATATTGTATCTATTCATACTTTGTACACACTATCATTTCACTGCCTATTTGTACGTATTACTCAATTCATATAGACTATCTCTACATTACCCTTTTTCTTGTGTATACCTTTATTTTCCTCGGGACCATACTGCTATCCCTGACCTGAGATGGCGCAAAACCGGGATTGTGTGGTATAGTGCTTCTACTACAGCATTTGACGGTTCTCTCTTTTCTTTCATCGTTTACAAAACAAAAACAATTTAATCTACCGTCAAATAGACTCTTCGTCAAAATGCACATAACAAATTAAACACTTTTTAAAAGCTTTCCTCGCTCCTGCGCGGTCTCTCATTTGCCACAATTGCAATTTTCCACAAAACAGTAGTCGCCTATCGAAGGAAGGATTACTATGTAAAACAAATGTTAGTACAATATGTATATTTTTCTTGCGCTGGGAATAATAAACTATCTTGAAGCCTTCAAATGGTCGCTCTAGACTGTTCCATGATAAACACAATGTGGCACATGGAGACTATTTGTACGGTACATAAAAAGTTAAACAATTGTGGACTATCTTTTCGAATTCTAACACAGGAGACGATCAGCCGAGTAAGCAGAAAAACGGCGATTACATGGCAATGACTAAACGCGGCCGAGGAACAGGTGATAGAGACGAAAACAAAGATGGACAGGTAATAATTACAAAATAATATTCTCTAGAATCTTTAATTTCGTAAGAAATCTTTATTCGAATTTGTGGATTTCTTTACGATTGAGGTGCTTTTTTTTTGGTTTTACCTTCATTTTCAGAGAGTTTGACACGAGACTTATTATGATAGGTAATAGGTATATTATTGGAATGGTTCTAAAATTATGCCCACAAAGTTCTGCTTAAACATATAATTTAAAGAAGTATTGTTAAGTTTAGGCAAGTAAAATTTTAATTTAATACTTTTGTTGCTTTCTTCGCATCTACACGGTCGTTTGTTTGCCCCACGTAAAATTTTGCATAAATCAATACTAACCAATTGACGAAGAGATTGCTTTCTGCGAAACGATGGATTTTGATAATTACCTGTCTTCTCCTGCACATTAACCTTTTTGATACCGGCATAGATTAATCTTCTACTGGAAATCGTAAAATAATCTTGAAGCCTTTGGTACAGGCTTATTTATCCCATGATCAATATTATAATGTAGCCCAGGGAGATTTTTTTTTATGGCATATAATTATGAAGATTAAAAACATCCATACTCTCACCTAACATCAAATTATGAAAGACATGGTTCAATACAAGGCGATTATTTATACCTGAAACTCGTCGTACATAATTGGCTCTATTAACCATCTCCAACGAACACTAAAATATTAATAATCAAAGAAAATTTGCATATTCCACACAATTATGTGCATCTTCATTTTATTTTAGGCATCTGCAACGTCTGTAACGTCCAGCTTCAATGGCGATGGGAAATTGAAACGTAATGCCAGTATCTATGTCAGAGATCGCCTTTCCCGCTCCGAAAATCATCCTGTCCACTACTTGGTATGATGAGAAAAGCTTTAATATACATTTGCCACTCTCCAAATGGGTTCCGGTCAGACATGTAATTGCTTGAATGTTTTGAGCGCCCTACGGCAGCTGGAAGATCATTTTTAAATGTTAAATATATGTGAAATACGAAACAATGAAATGAAACTTAAACTAAAATGAACACGAAACACGCTAGATCACGACAGATTAACTGTATTCTACCTAAATTTAAATCTGACGCTGGTTCTAGGCTTTTGTCCCAAAATATCGGGTTTATGAAAGAAAGTCGATCGCAACGACTTTCGAAAAAAAGTTTGAGGTCTAATTGTTCCTTTAGTCAAATCTGAATAAGTAGGATACGGGCCCTAGTGTTTTGCTTAGTTATTAGGTATTAGTGAGTGGCAGAAACAACCCCCCCCCCCCCCCAACAACAACAAAAAAAAAGAAGAAAAGAAAGAAAAGAAAGAACAACAACAAAGTATAATAGGCAATTAGTCCCTATCATAAAGAATATCAGACCGATTACAGTATACAAAATAGCTACCAGCATGTTAAATAGTGGGAAACTCATGATATATTTACAGAATAATTTAATCAATGATAATGAAAGATAAACTCGATACTCTCATAAAGAATTATCATTTTGCATTTTGTTTTCAGATTGAAAATGATGAGAGTAAGAAGTTACTGGATCACCCTGTAGTTCGTCTGATGTTTAGGAACAAGCACGAAGCGTTTCGTCTCGAATACTGGCCTCGGTTCTGTCTCCAACTCACACTGCTAGTCTTCCTGACACTCCATAGCCTTATCATCCCTCCACCGTACTATGTTAAAAAACACCTATCGGAGGGCAACTACACGTGGTTGGCTGATGGGGAAGCCAAGTGGAAGAAGGACCTGGACTCGAACGCATTGGTCCTGTTTGGTTCGATCGGGACCTGGCTCATTCTCCTGCTAACTGTCATATATTTCTTTGAATTTGTAAGAATTCATGTTTTTACTAAGTGCTTGGATGTTTAGGCTTATATTGGCTACATCCCGCGAGACCGAACCCCCATACGACCGACATCCCAAGAGACTGACATCACATTATACTGACAGTCTATAATACCAACAGCACACAAGACCAACAGCCCATAAGACCGACAGCCCTTAAGACAGGCAGTCCACGAGACATCATTTAAGTCTTAAATGCCTTCTGATATTTTTCAGCGAGTTTTGTCGCGATTAATTTTCCTAATTTTCTTATGCATATATTTTATAAAGTCGGCGGATTTTGATACTGTTTTTATCGTAGGCTGTTGCAGAGTAAATAGAGTGCAGCAAGATAATATAAAAAAGTCAATCATCAAAGAATCAAATCAGGTTTATTTTAAAGACGTCTAATGGTGTAAATAATTCTTATAGCTAAATTTCAAACCAGGTTATATTTGTTTTTTCTTCAAAGTGTATATATATATATATATATAAACATAAACAGTATAAGAAATTTGCTTTTTTGCGGCCCTAACCATATACATGTAATTACTTGCTTTGTATTTGGTATATTATATGTATTCTATTTTAGTTTTGTATGTTTTGCTTTTATATGTTTATGGTCCAATAAATTCAAATGAATTCAACATATATGAATATATAAAAACGTAAACATACACACAAACATAATCACAATCATACTACATGTAGTAGTCTGCAGATCAGTATGACCAGCAAATTATAAAAATATTCTTTTTTGAAACGAGAATGACTGTATATGATGAACGAAATTGAACCTTGATAAAATTACCCTTGAACACAGCCGAATGCTCACAATAATATTTAATTGAATAAAATTTGATTAAATTGATTTCTTCAGCAGCATACAAATCAAATTACATTTCAGCGATACATCAATATATAACTTACCTTTGAACGTGTACACGAGATAATGATAATAGAAATGTTAAAACACTACCAAGAATTATTCATTACGAAATCTGTAGAAGAAGGGCTAGCAAAGTAAGCGCTGTAACTGCTTTAATAATAAAACAAGTAAATACACGATCACAATCATTATTGTTTTCATTTTTTGGTTTAAAGCTCCAGAGGAAGTGGGTGTACAGGAAACCAAAGTCTTTTTCGATTGCAGGATGGCTAAGTTTCATCCGAGAGCTCACTCTCCAAATCTTGATCATTCTGTTCGTCGTACCAGGGTTTGGTGACGTCTACTTTGGCCACGGTGTTACCTTCAAAGCCGTGAGTATTACATTCTCATCTTTGTTAATTATAGAATCATTATCAAAAACGAAATAAGAAAACAGGCACATTTTACAACAACAAGAGCAACAATAAAACACCACTAGAAAAGCGGCACCAACTACTACTACTACTACTACTACTACTACTACTACTACTGCTGCTGCTGCTACTGATACTATTACTAATTTTACAACGAATTTACCTTTTCTACTACTACTACCTCTACAAAAACAAGAACAACTTCTATTAATACTACTGCTATTACTACTACTATTTCTTCTATTACTACTACTTTTACGACCGCTACAACAACCACAACAAATACTACTACTACTACTATCACTATTTAATTTACTACTGCTTCTACTACTTCAAATACTATCTACATATACTACGGCTACTTATACTTATACTTCTACTATTACTACTACTACTACTACTACTACTACTACTACTGTACCAAACTGACTTAACATGGTGGTAGAGGTGATTTTGCAGTAGTGCTTCTATTAGAGTATGGCTTTAAGTGAAAATAATCTAAGAGCTCAATCAAAAATTGTTATTTGTTATTCTATATTTTATTGCAGGATTGGCAATGGGAACTAGGTGCATACGCAGTTCTCTTGGCCTGGATTAATTTCATCCTATTCCTGCAAACTGCTCCGTTTTTCGGCATCTACATTCTCATGTTTATAGGTATATATTAATAACATTTTACAGTTGATTATTGATAGTTGATTGTTGTTGTTCCTGACTGCTGAAGTAAGCATGTAAGGTCACCTTTTTTGGTCACCCATTAGCACTTTTTTTTTTAAATTGAGGGGGGGGGGTCGACGCCCCCCCCCCCCCCTGCGTACGCGCCTGCCCGGGACGCCCTTACTGTTAGGAGACCACTGCTCTACCACCGAGCCATCGCGCCTCCTCGTGAAACCTGCTTTAGCGACCACCTGTAAAGAGAGGCCACTAGTCTGTAAAGACCTTATGTTCTGTATTCCTTTGAGGGTCCTTGTAATTGAAACGTGTACTTGTACATAAAGCCTTGTACGTAAAGTCCACCTGCCTATTCAGACCGCTTTTCATGTCTCCCTCGTTTGGTCTTTATAAACAGTTTTCAAAATGTTTGTTTTCAATTACAATTCAAACATGATCGCAACCACTTTAAAACCTGTACATAAAGACCATTCAAGGAAGATAAGAAACGCGATATTGAGTTAAACAAAAAAAGGGTCTTTATAGACCTTATGTCTGTCTCTGCAGGGGGTTGCCTATTAAGCAGGTATCCACTGTATCACTCGAAAATCATTTCAAGGGCGATTTGAATAGTTCATCCATTGTATATTCAATGAAAATCTTGTTTAGATTACGTTATACGTCTTTGTAATGTATGCATGTTTTTAAAGGTGATGGACGGACTATTTACATTGCCGTAAATTTTAAATATATTTACTTCATAAAATAACTTCGCTCCGTACGTCACGTCATCAAGAAAATGGAGATGCCCATACAGTTACGTATCGTAATTTTACATTACGGTAAGGATATCTTGCTTCATACCTCTCTCATGCACTGTGGTGGGCGATCTTCTTGATGGAACGGGAATAATACATTAAATACCTCAGAATAACTTAAATTATTTCTTGCAGTGAATTTTTCTTTTTACAGCTTCATATCTGAACAAGCCTTTTCTTTTGATTCATCGCAAAATTGAAACGTCAATCCGTTGTCATTGCATTTTTCTCTCCATTGTTTCAAAAGAATTAATATCGCCTTTTAATCTGAGCTTGATTTCTAAGGTTATTAAATAATGTGTTAAAATAGACCATGTGTTTATAGTTTGAAGGTCAGTGTTTTTCTTTAATCATATTTGTTGGTTTACAGAGGTTATAACAACTATGGTGAACTTTTTACTTGTTGCCGGAATTTTTATTTGCACCTTTGCTGTGGTTTTCTGCATCCTCATCATCAATCAGGTATATAAAATATTGTCTTTGTTATAGATCATCCTATTGGCTAAGAAGCTGTCACGTAATACTCAACAAGTTATAAAATGGCGTGTTTGTTAGCGATTATCCTATTAGCTGAAACTATCACATGACAATCGAATTTCTATTATATGTGCAAGAACATGCAATATAAAGATCGATTTTTCACGGTACAACGATAACAAAAGCGAATTATATTGCGCACCTCTTTTTCATTTTTCTCTACCATTAGCAAATATAACTCATGGAAATTTATGGGCAGCTATAGCAAAGGGAAGGTTGAGTTCTGAGAAGAGGTGGACAATAAGTTTTGAGCGGTTTCATTGTTATTATGCAAGTGGAAGAACATCAGAGGAAAAAAATCCCTAAACGCACGGCTCTTAAAAACATTCATATTCTAAATAAGGCACAATAATTAACAGCTTGAAAATGTGTGCCTCATTGTTATGCCACATGTTTGCGTATTCCCACATACGTTTTTATGTGAAAAGTGCTTGTTACTTTTCCCAAGACTCCAGAACCATGCAGTACACACCAATCCTCATATGCTACATGTTCAACTTTTACAGATCGATTCCACATCGTTTCTTTTACAAGGCATTCTTATGACCATGCAGCACTCAACTTTATGTTTAATACCAACCTTTTTTCTATTTCTATTCTCAGACGCAGTATCACACATTTTGGGACTCCTTAGCTAAGTCTCTGACCATGCTGACCGGTGGCATAGACTTTGATACCGTCTTTCATCCCATGGACTACTTGTACCAGCAATCTGCTACTGAGGACTTCACGAACATTGTCTTCTATCCAAGCACTACCCTTGTTATCTTTCTCATCTTTCTCTTTTCTATGCCGATCGTCGTCATGAACCTCTTGGTAAGGAGTATATTCGCAGCGCATTGTTGCTTATATGCATGTAAAGTGCGTGTGCGTGTGGGTGTGTGTATGTAGGGGGTATTTTTGTGGGAGTTAGGGGTGAGGTGGGATCCTGGACTTTGTGTAGGAATGCGCATGATAGTTATACATTATGAGACAAAAGGGTAATTTTCGGGGGATGTTCGAGTAAAAACTTTTTTTTTTAACGAGCAAGAAATTTTAAGTAAAAGAGTATTTTATTTACATATTTACTGATTGTTGTCTAATATTTTTATCCTTCCTTGAATTAACATTTCAGACTGGTTTGGCAGTATATGATATTGACGTCATTCAGAAAAAGGCCAAGATTGTTAAACAAACAATTGAGGTAAGTTTTCCCTGCTGTCTTTTCTTTTTCTAGGGCTTAATTGATCACATGCTGTTCTTTGAATTGGCAACGATAATATTTTTCTTTTATTGCTCTATTCTAGACACAGTCAGACACAACTTCGAAAGACCAAGCACATGTGAATTACACTGAAAATGGCGTATAACGCTCGATTGATATAGCGTCCTCAATATTCAATACGAAGTAGTGTAAACAAAATAGCATGTGGAGAATTTGAAAAGTCATTTTGCTGTTGATATTTAGTTTTTGGTCAAAAGTAACGCTGCTTCTTGATTATCTTTAAAATCCTTGAATGACTTCAAAATGACAACTATTTGAAATAGATATACCCACAACAACTGGTCGACTATGTCCACAAACACAAAGCAAGTACTTCAGGTACAAAATGTGTGTTAATTCAATGATAATGTGGCCTCATAGGAAAGAAGCGCAAACATTTGATGGATAAAATACGAGAGAATAAGGCCACAGATATAGGGTTCGGGAAGCAGGGGCTCTGAAATATAATGATATTATTTACAATAGCATCCTTGTTTACAGCAAGGCTATCCTCATCAATATACAAACTTTTGTATTTGAGGACCCTGCAATCATGTTATCATAGGTAGCATGACCTCCTTTTCACGTTGCCTTTCCCATTATTTATTTTTATTTATCTTCTTCCTCCTTTAATAGGTGTAAGGGGAGGGGGCTGACCCCGGCTACGCCATTAATAACAGATATTTAATTTCTAGCATTTGAGCCTCATTTATATACACTTGCCTCATTTAAAAGAAAGTCTTAGTGTTTCTTATAAAAATTCCTGGAATAAATGTTCTCATTCAAAAGTTGTGTATTATCATACTTTTTACTATTCATAATTATCTATTTTCTTTCTTGTCCCTTCAAATGTAATACATTACTATTATAACTTAAACATGTAGCTAGCCCTTGACGAGGTACTGGTCCCTGCAGATTCCTCCACTTCTTATTTAATTAATTCCACTCCTGCTTATCGGTTATCTTGGAATGTTTAAAGCTATGTATATTTTTGATATATTTGATAAATACAAACGTGACACTTGAAATTTGATGTGTTCTGTAGGCGGAAGGAATCTTGGCCGTGCAGAATAACATGCTGCCGTGGGTATGGAAGAGAAGTGTACTCCAACACAAAAAGATCACAGTCTTCAAGAATGTCTCCTCACTCACAGCCATCTGCTACAAGCTCACTGGCTATAAAGACACACATGATTATTTGGTGGCATTTCTGGAAGAGCTAGGGAAAAAGGTGATTATTTTTTGTTATTTACGGTAATATCCTGGTTTTTCTATACCATCTTTACTTAAACAAGATTTGATACCTTCTCGCTACGGTGAATAATTAGAGGATGCTGAAGGTAAAATGTGATTAATTTTTGAAAACTCGCTAGATAAAAGTTAGGTTTAATCTTACTTTTATCTAGCCGATAAATAGTTTGTTATGTTTCTATGATGGGATAAGGGAAAAACAGTACTATCATGTTGTTTTTTCCTGTGAATATGGGGGTATGTTTTTACAAAAGGTCGTATAACCTCAAAAGCCGATGGAACAGAGAAAGCCAAACCTATGCAAGGTGTTATTCAGAAATAATGACAAACATATCCTGAAAAAAGCTCATCTGATTGGTTAATAGTGTATTGGTTAAAATCTTATGTTTACACAATCAATACACCAGTTTACAGTTGTATCAGTGCGCATGCGCAGACAGTTAACCTCGGGTCATTGGCCCCGGAACGGGGCCAATAACCTCTGACCTCTGGTATTTATGCGTAAATTAAGATTGCGCCCATGCAAATGATGATGTGAGCGCACAACGCAGCGCGTAGGGCAGTGATATCATCAAAATTTGCATGGGCGTAATCCTAATTTACGCATAAATACATGACCTCTAAGGTCATTGGCTTTGTTTAAAATGGCGCACACAACTGTAAACTGGTGTATACACCAGTTTACAGTTGTATCAGTGCGCATGCGCAGACAGTTGACCTCGGGTCATTGGCCCCGGAACTGGGCTTATTGGCCCCGTTCCGGGGCCAATAACCTTTGACCAGTGGTATTTATGCGTAAATTAAGATTGCGCCCATGCAAATGATGATGTGCGCGCACAACGCAGCGCGTAGGGCAGTGATATTATCAAAATTTGCATGGGCGCAATCCTAATTTACGCATAAATACATGACCTCTAGGTCATTGGCTTTGTTTAAAATGGCGCACACAACTGTAAACTGGTGTATTGGTGAGTACTTTAACCCTAACAGCGTTTTTCGTCAGAGTAAGGTCGTTGTTGATGGCGTTTATAGACAAGTACACAATATTGTCCAAATATGACCACAAGCCAAAGAGATGGATACGGGAGACTATGAACATAAGAATCAACAGGGGCAACACTAACAGGGACGGGGCCCAACACATTCTCTCCAACGTTTTCAACCCAATTCTGTCGAAGCTGTCTAAACGCCATCTACGACGGCATTTGGCCAATGTCGAACGCTGCTAGTGTTTGAAAGTACCCACTAAAAAGGACAGCAATTTTCTTGTCGATTGTTTTGAAAGTAGTTTCATCCAATGATTAATATAATATTCATCATTAAATTTCAGGCGGGACGTGTTGAGTACACAAAGACAACCGATGTGAAGATTGATAACATGATGGATAAAATCGACGACGTCCGGAATAGACTCTATCTTCTGTCTGACGAGACCCTTGACGCTAATACACTACATCGGGAGGCAATCAGGCAGGTACAGGATAAGCTGGATAAGATGTGTCGTGGTAAAGTGGTTTGAACACTTGAATTGAGTAAAATAAACAAAAATGGCATTGGTTTTTATTGCTAGTCCATAATTTTGATAAAATATCACATCTCTGAAAGCAATATTACTTTACGGTTCTAAACTGCAATTACATCAAATTATGCGCAATCTGTCTATTTCCTTATTATTGAAATAAAATTAAAGGGATTGAAGAATATGTTTAAATATTTGTGAAAGGTATTACAAAGTGTTGGGAAATTTCGAAAAATGGGTGAATGTGATTCTTTACCAATTTGATAAATTTGGATGCCCCTGTGGATGTATTAAAAACACCAAAAATGTTAGCCCCTAAAACACTTCTGCTTTCGAGAAAAATTGAATATAAAGATTTACCGGTGCTCCCGGTAAATTTTGATAAATTTCAAATAGCTCCTACGGCCATACAATGGTAGCTGCGACCATGAAAATCTCAGAGTATATAATTTTCGAACGAGAATAGCTAATTGGTCGATTTTAGTCAATAAACGTTGTTTTATAGGTTAATTATTATCTTGAACTTGAGAGGGAGCTATTCAACATAATGTGTTTATTATTTACAATATAATATTTTTAGAGTCGATTTCGACCGCGACAACGATCACTGAATATTGTAGGAACGTATATGCTTCCAACATGTTCATTTGAACCAAATTCATGACCCCATACCAAAACTTTGTATTACCTTTAAGACTTTCAAAAGCATGTGAAATTTGGAATTTTATAGGTAAAAACAATTATTTGACTGTTTTGTAAGATAAGAATATACGTCTTTGTTTTGCTTAAAAGGACAGTCAAAGCAGGAGGCAAATGGCCACGGTAAAGATGAAACAAACAATGCAGTCTGTAAAAAAGTTAATTTTAGAAATGTAGAGGGTATTTTTCATAACTGTATACGAATGTTCATATACTCTGAGATTGTTCTCTGCTAGTACATCAAATTCTGTTTAAACTGCATTGTATATATATATATATATATTGAAAAATAGTTGAAAGGGATAGATAAAGGATTGTAAGTATTTGTTAAAACGATTATACTTTACATTGTAAAGAATTGGGGAATTCTATATGGTGCATAAATATGCAATTATTATGAGAATGTCATTTCATGTACACTGAATTGTAGTGTAAAGAGTAAGTGGAGAACTGTTAATGATTAAAGAAGATCCATATACTTCGCTTTTGAAATGGATTCATGATTAAAGGCTGCAAGAACATCAAGTTATGTTGAGACCAAGTTTTATATACATTGAAATATAGTTTAAAGGGATAGAGAAATAATTTTGAATATTTGCTAGAACTTTTTAACTTTTCATTTTAATGAATGTTTTGATTAAAAACTGCAAGTACATCAAATTATTGACAGACTGTCACTTTATGTTCATTGAATTATAGTTAAAAGAGAATGTGAAAAACTGTAAATGATTGTTACAAAATGTCCATATACTTTGTTTTCTTAAATCGAATTAAGGTTCTACACTGCAAGAACATAACATTCGGCTAAGACAGCATTTTATAAAGATTGAAATATAGTTTAAAGGGATATAGGAAGAATTGTAAATATTCGTTAAGACTATTATACTTTATATTTTAAAGAATGTGGGAATTTTATATTGCGGGTAAATATATGCAATTAATATCGGAATGTCATTGTATATTTATTTAATTGTAGGGTAAAGAGTATGTTGAAAACTATTAATGATCTAAGAAGTTGCATATACTTTGCTTTTGTTACAAATTGTCCATATACTTTGTTTTCTTAAATCGAATTAAGGTTCTACACTGCAAGAACATAACATTCGGCTAAGACAGCATTTTATAAAGATTGAAATATAGTTTAAAGGGATAGAGGAAGAATTGTAAATATTCGTTAAGACTATTATACTTTATATTTTAAAGAATGTGGGAATTTTATATTGCGGGTAAATATATGCAATTAATATCGGAATGTCATTGTATGTTTATTTAATTGTAGGGTAAAGAGTATGTTGAAAACTATTAATGATCTAAGAAGTTGCATATACTTTGCTTTTGTTACAAATTGTCCATATACTTTGTTTTCTTAAATCGAATTAAGGTTCTACACTGCAAGAACATAACATTCGGCTAAGACAGCATTTTATAAAGATTGAAATATAGTTTAAAGGGATAGAGGAAGAATTGTATATATTTGTTTAGACTATTATACTTTACATGTTAAAGAATGCGAAATTCAATACTACGCCTTCATGAACTTATTATCAGAATGTCATTCTGTGTACACTGAATTGTAGTGTAAAGAGTAATGTGGAAAACTGTTAATGATTTAAGAGTTTCCATATACTTTGCTTTTGAAATAGATTTACGCTTTCAGACTGCAAGAACATCAAATTATGTTAAAACCAAGTTTTTGTAGATATTGAAATATAGTTTAAAGGGATAGAGGATGAATTTTGAGTATTTGTTAGAACTAGGGTGATCACACTGCCTGTGCACACAGTCTGCCCCATGCACATACACACACACACAACAGCAGTCAGTTGGTAGAAATAGCAATTTTCGTAAATTTATTTTAAACAAACTGAACAATATTTTTAAATTTTTAATTCACATATCTTTCAAGCATACCTTTAACTACAATTCTGTGTAGTTTCATTGTTATAGGCGTGTGGGAAATATGTTAAATTATTAATTAGAATTAGAATATTGTCTTTTCAGCCATGTGTGACATGGCCCGCTGATCGCCCATTGACTGTTATTCTGCGTGGTGAAAATGCACTTCAATGTATAAAACTCCCCTACAAAAATTCAATATCCTCATGTGTTCCACTCATTAAATCGATTTGTCATTTACACTCAAGGTAGCCACAACTGCATTGGAGTCACCAAAATTTGTTTTTCTCTAAAAATTCAGTTCCTGCGGAATGTTATGGCCTGTTGAATTGAATAGTTTCTCGGAAAATCCTCAAATCTGACATTTTTTAAAAGAAACTATACTGTGATGTAGATGAAAGTCTGCAAATTCTTATCATTTGTTCGGTTTTTCTGAATAATTTGTGAAACATATGAGGACATAGCTGTAACGGTGATCCAAGTAATTTCCATCGCCATATTTTATTGGCATTGCAAAAATATTTGGAATTTAATGTTAATATTTGGTGTAAATATGATCTATAAATATATGATTTTAAAAAATGCCAACAAAATGAACAGTTTGACTTTCCTATATATATAATATATATAATACATAGGTTTCTTTGATGTATGATATTCGGTTTGGATTTGATTACATATGCGCATATTAATTAGACGGACTTAGTTATTTTCACAACTTTTTCATATCTGCAGATTCGCAAAAATGGCAAAAATGACTTATTTTGTTTGCTTCTGTTTTAAAAACGGTAATAGATATATGAATTTTCTCTTTTGTATTTTTAACCACAAAGATGATATTTTAGTGTCTGATAATTTAATTTATTATTTGTGTCCAAGAAAGTGATGAATTAAGTTGTCAACTTTGTAGAATTTTGCCAATTTGACCATTTCTGGCAGGTTTTTCTGTAATTTTGCGATATCAAATAAATGGTATAAAATCACAACGCATTGACCGATTTCAATTCTGTTTTTTGTTTTTTGAAGCTATCACAAAGCTTGATTATTTGCAATCATCAAATAACATGTGTTTGTTGTACTTATTTTTGGTGTGCTATACCTATTAGAACTGTTTAACTTTACATTTTAATGAATCTCATGATTAAAAACTGCAAGTACATCAAATTATTGTGAAATTATAATTTTATGTATATTGAATTTCAAGATAAACTTGAGTTCTGATAAGTATAGAAAATAATTTCTCTCAGAATTCAAAGAAACTTTCACTGAATGTTCAATACTACAATTTAATGACATGTGCCAAACGATGTTTGTAGAAAAAGTATAGTGGCGGATTATTGAGCATTGAAAGATAGTGGAATAGTAGGCCCGACACCATGTGCTTATTTTAAAGATTTCACAGGAATGTACTTCATACATATTAAAATTAATGTGACGTTAGTAGACTCAAGTTACTAAAGAAAGCTGTCCAGATTGTCGTTTAATGGTACATGTAAATTATGATTGTATAATTTAAAGGAATCATTCTGTTGTTAACAAAGTAAATGAGAAGACGTTTTCATTTTTATGGGGTTCTAAGAAAGAGAAAGTGAAAAGAAATATATGTTTGTATAAAATGACTATTAGGGGGTTAAGGTATGGTTAATTTATAGGCATTAGTTGGTTAAATGCGACTTTCCTGGATAAGGACATTTTGATGATAAAAAAGCTGCATGGAAAAAATCCGTCGGGTTAAATAGGGTAGTCGGAATTCCATTGGTGTTTCAGTTTGATTGCAATAATAATGTAATAACAGAAACACGGTGAAATGTCTAAAGATATCCCATTTTTACTTTGATTTGTTTTGTATTTGGTCAGAATTAAGATAGGTAATAACACACATGGTAACAAATATTGGAAAGTAAATATTATGGAATAATAGTGATATTACATTTGATAACCAGGTATTGCATTTCAAGTAAAGGGGAAAAGTTGGGATTTTTAAAATAATTTTTGTTTAGTCAAGGACATTGGAATTATGTTGATTTCATGTGTCAAAAATGTAAGTTTCGAAAACTGTTTTCTTTCAAATTTTGAAAGGTGAAGAAAACCTTTCAAAAATCCTGGGTCGATCAATATAGTTAATGGTTTGTACCAAACACATCACTCTAATTTTAAACAAATATCAACTGGTGATGATATTCATATTTTATAAATGAAGACTAAACAATTCTACTTATACTTTGCGCAGAAATACAAGAAGAGTCTTTTCTATACAATGCTTAGCAGCTACGATTATTAATGCCCTCCGATTTAGATACAGACACACAGGCCCGAATTCACAAAGCAAGGTTTGTCATCAGACCATGGTTTTCGTACGTCATATGACGCGTTTTAGACCTTGGTTCAGACCTTGTACTGAAATACATTCCACAAAGCAGGTTTGTCCTCAGACCAAGGTTTTCGTACGTCATATGACGCGTTTTAGACCTTGGTTCAGACCTTGGTCTGAAATACATCTCACAAAGCAGGTTTGCCCTCAGACCATGGTTTTCGTACGTCATATGACGCGTTTCAGGTTTGAGTTCAGACCTTGGTCTGAAATAACATTTCACAAAGCAGGTTTGTCCTCAGACCATGGTTTATGTACGTCATCAGACCCGAAATTTGCAGACTGTTCAGAGGGGAGTTTTGTAATTTCGCAAACCTGGTCTGAGAGCTATCAACCAATCAGGATGCAGCACTGCGTGGAGATAATTTTCGCTCGATTGATT